CTGGATTTGATTGATTTTTCTGCAAAAATTACCGAAATCAATGCCTGATATTTTTGGAATTTCAACTTCCCCTTTTGAGCGCAATGGGAAGTTAAGAATTTTCGATGCGATTGCAAACGGTGAAATTTTGCCCCTAAAGCCTCAAGCTAAAACTCTCTAAAAATTCAACAGATGTCCGGATTTGAGTGCACTTTTGCCTAAGAAGACTACCAGACTTTAGCTATTTTCCATGGAAGTTGATGTGTCCTTCTTGAGCAGAATGGGCAGTAAACAATTTTCTTTGGAGAGACTGCAAGTCGAAATTTCGCTTCTCTAACTTCAACTTTCATACGCTCTGAATAATCAACAAAACAATGGATTTGAGTGAAATTTGGCGCAAAGATAGCATAGTACCTTGGCTATTATGTATGCAATTTACAGTTTTATTCTCGATGAGAGCTCGAAGTAGCGATTTTTTGTATACTGCCAAAGTCGAAATTACGCTCTTTTTTCTTCAAGCTTGAATCTCTCTGAAAAATCAACGAATAATTGAATTTAAAAGAAATTTTGTTTGCAGATATCGAGTTACTCTAGTTTTTTGCTGTGCAGCTTACAGTTTGCTCCGTGGATAAATTTGAAAGTTGGAATTTTTTTTTCAAATAGACTGCAAAAGTCGGTATTACGCCCATGTAGCTTCAAGGTTGACATTCTCTAAAAAGTTAAGGAACATCTAAAATTGAGCGCATTTCTGCTCAAAGATAGTTTAGCACTTTTGCTATTGTTTGTGCTATTTATAATTTCATCCTTAAAGAGAGTTTGAGGAACCGATTTTTTTTCGGTCGAAATTACGCTCCTCTAACTTCAACTTTGATACGCTCTAAATAGTCAACCAATCAATGCAATTAAGTTAAATTTCGGTGAAATATATTCTACCACTTTAACTGTTTTCTGTGAAATTTATAGTTTTTTCTCGATGAGAGCTCGAAATAGTTAATTTTTTGAACCAGACCACAAAAGTCGAAATTACGCTCTTTCTGCTTCTAGCTTGAATCCCACTAAAAAATCGACGAATTCTTCAATTTGAAAGGAATTTTGCCTAAAGGTAGCAAGTTGCTTTAGCTCTTCGCGGCCAAGTTTGTAGATTCCTTCTTGAAACAAGTTGGAAGTTGCAATTTTTTATCAGAGTGTCTAGCTTCAAGCTCGACATTTTCCAWAAATTAACTAATATCTAAAATTGAGTGCATTCCTGCTCAAATATAGTTTAGCACTTTTTCTATTGTTTGTGCTATTTATAATTTTATCCTTAAAAAGCGTTTGAGGAACCGAATATTTTTCAAGAAACTGCAAAAGTAGAAATTACGCTCCTCTAACTTCAATTTTGATACGCTCTAAATAACCAATCAATGSATTTMASTTAAATTTCGRGGAAAGATMGTCTARCACTTTMRCWRTTTTCTRTGWAATTTATAGTTTTTTTCTCGATGAGAGYTCGAAATAGYGAATTTTTTSAACSAGACCRCAAAASTCAAAATTACGCTCTTKCTGCTTCYAGCTTGAATCCCTCTAAAAAATCATCAACSAATTCTTCAATTTGAAAGGAATTTTGCCTAAAGRTAGCAAGTTGCTTTAGCTTTTTGTGGCGAAATTTGTAGATTCYTTCTKGAAAAAAGTTRAAAGTTRCAATTTTTTATCAAAAAGACTGTCTGAARTCAAAAGTCGGCATCACRTCCATGTAGCTTCAAGCTSGACATTCTCCAAAAATTAACTAATGTCTAAAATTGAGTGCATTTCTGCCCAAARATAGTTTAGCAYTTTGCCATTCTTTGTGATTTCATCCTTAAAGAGCGTTCGAAGTAAYKAATTTTTTTTCAAGACACTGCAGAAGTCGAAATTTTGCCCTTATAGATCCACGTTTGGTACCTTGCGGAAAATCTACGAATTTCTGAATTTGAGTGASCTTTTGCTAAAAGATAGCCTATCTATTTGGCTAYTGTATGTAGAGTTTAAAGTTTCCTGTTTGAACACGACTCGAAGAAACGAACTTTTCCGAACARACGRCTGCAAARGGAAAGTCAAAATTACSCCCCTGTARCTCGGGACAYCCTCGSAAAAACACCAACGAMTTACCCAACTTCAGTGAAATTTCGCGAAAAGATAGTCTAATCCTTTGGCCCTTATAAGTGCAATTTTTCCTTTCCTTCTCCATGAGCGTTCGAAGAAGTAACTTTTCCAGAGACTGTAAAAGCCCAACATTACGCCCTTGTTTCTGCAAGCTTCGCTCCCTTAAAAAAACCAACGAATGCTTGAACTTGTATGAAATTTTGCCTCAAACTGCATCGGAAAATTCCAGAATTTCACCATCAATTACTGGATAGAAAAGGTCGAAGACCGAAAAAAAATCGTCATGGGGATGCCCATGTATGGCCAGTCCTTCTCCTTGGCCGACAACAAAGAGAACGGCTTGAACGCGGCCACTTATGGAGGAGGAGAAGCCGGAGAAGAAACGCGCGCTCGAAGCTTCCTGGCCTATTATGAGGCAAGTTCCCCATTTCAATCATTCATCAAGTAGAAATATGCCGAAAATTTCAAACTTGTTCCAGATTTGCACAAATATTCWGAAAAAGGGCTGGAAAATCGCCAAACACCAAACAGCTGATTTCTCTTGAACGTTCAAGCAAACCGCTTCTGAAGATGCAAGCCCCTCGTGCCTGCGAAACGTCCAGAAGAAATTCTACCGACCGACGGCCTAAAAACCCATTAGTTTCAAGGAAGGGCCTCCAAAGTCTATCTCTTTTGATTAACTAGACCTGCTGTGATTGGATCTCTCCATTGATCCACACTCCAATTGGACGCTAGTTCGTCTCAATTCAGTTCAGAAACGATTTTTCCTCCCCAACCCTCATTTGCTCTACCCAAACAAACTGCACTCACTGATCTGATAAGAACGTATATTTCAAAAACCTAGAAATAACTTAAATTATACAAGTTAAGCTCCGATCACCAGCAGCCCTAATCAGCTGCGAAAATCCAAAGCTTCTGGCAAAAGAAACATTGACAAATCTAGATGCGAAAAATGTGGTAAACCCCAGGGTTTGCCTACAATTTAAACACGAAACCCCAATCCCAATCTGCCAATGCCTGTTTTTTCAGCTGAGGGTTTTCGACCAAACAATATCACATTCTATGTACAGTTTTCCATGGTTATATCGGTTGCGGTTCCTCTCAGCTCGTGGTTTAGGGTTTTGAGTAGCGGGTGTTTTCCACAGCCGCATCGATTTCGGAAATCGTCCAGATCCAGAGCCCAAATCATGCCGCCTCCAAGCCCCAGAGTCTTCACCAGTTGGGACTGAAAATGCTCCCATGTAACTTTCAGCTGGTTAATTGGGCTTTTCAGTACCTTTCTGCGAATGTCTGCAATATCATCATACGACACCCATTGGCTCCCCATGTGGGCATAAGGCCCAAGTCTCCCTAGAGGGTCCCGCTTGACTGTCCAACTCTTGCTCTTCACACGCTCACAGATCTGAAACCAATCAACTTGTTTGCACCTCTAGCATCCACCTAAAGACGGTTTTTACTTCGTAGAAAGCCAGAAATCCTCCAGCTCGGGTGAATTCCCCAGCTTCTCCCGGCCCATAAGACGGGTCGTTGAGGGCATAGTTCGAACTATCCGCCAAAGTGAACGACTGTCCATACAGCGGCATCCCCATCACTAGTTTCTTGGGATCAGCCCCCTTTTCTATCCAGTAGTTGATGGAGAAGTTCTGCAAAAAACCCAAACTAGCATGCCAGCCGGATCTACCAAACAGCTTCTCTTACAGCGTTGAAGTAGTCGTAAATGTCCTCCGGATAGTAGTACAAGGGCGCCACATGGCCAGTGATTTTGTCCCAGTGTCCATGGAAGTCGTAGGTCATAATGGCGATCCAGTCAAAGTAGCGGTTCAACGCTGGAACGTCGTAGCCAGCATCAATAACAGCCTTACTAGGGGACACAGCTGAAGAAAGCAGCAGGCCTTTGGGCTTGAAGGCCTGGCTCAGTTCTTGGACCAATGAGGCGAAGCCCTGCTTATCAGAGTCTGGACCTTTGTGGCAATCCACCTAAACCAACGGGCTGAGGGTACTAAACAATCTGCCAGAACAACCTGCTGCTCTACCTGCCAACATTTGGGATACTCCCAGTCCAAATCCAGACCATCGAAGCCCCACTGTTCGATAAACTCGATCACATTCGAAATGAATTTGGCTCGAGCTCCCGGATTGTTGACTAGACGAGAATATTTATCCCCTAGTGAATCGTTCCAACCGCCAATTGCGATCAGCACCTTGATTCCTTTGGATCTGTAGGCGATGACTTTGGTGTAGAATTCTGGAAGAGACGCTTTAAGGAAAATTCAGTGCGCTTCCATTGACTTGCCATTATCAATGTCCGCCCAGGAATCATGGGGTTTGATGGTCAAAGAATTGGGATCCAGAACGGCAAACCCGTAGTTGATGTGCGTGCATAAGGAGCCATCGATATCAGAGGGCAGATATTTCCCTTCTCCTTGCCTGGAACGTTCAAACGCCCCTTAGTTGAGCCCTGGGGTAACAAACAGGAAAACCTACCGGTACCAGGCCCAATTTGTAAAGTAGCACACCACTTTGTATTCGCCCTCTATGGAAGGATAATGTTGCGTACTGGAGGGAATGTCGATAATACTGGTAGAAACTGTTGGGACTGATGATCCACCATCTGCTGATCCAGATGGGGCTTCAGTGGTGGTGCTGTCTGGATGGCAGGGGGTGTTTTCTGGCCAATCGCAGTGCCCCTTGTTCCAGTATAAGCCGCTGGGGCAACTTTGCAACGTGTAGAATCCTAGGCGAGAAATCGGCTGTTTGGTGTTCTGCAGACGCGGGTTGTTGTGGTAGATTTACCTTGATTGCACAGGTAGTAGTGGTTGCAGTTGGAAGGCACCGGCAGGAAGTCGTTCCCATTGCAAGCTTCCAATGCAGGCTGTGGAGCTTCAGGCGAAGTGCCTTCAACGTCCCAGCCTGGGGGCTTTTGAGTAGGCTTTACCGTAGAGGGCTTACTAGGGACGGCTGGCTTGTGCTGGCCTGCATGGGAATGAATCCTATAACAAGTCTAATGGAGGAACTGCGAAGCGTTACCTTTCCCTAGAACGCATTTGGGATCTGCAACTTTATAGTCGCGTAGGACGCGATTGATCGTCCTCAACAAGGGATACTCTTCGCATCCACACTCGTTTCTGAAATCATCCAAATCAAGAGCCCAAATCATCCCACCGCCCAGCCCCATTGCTTTAATGTACTCGGACTTGTGCCTGATCATTCCAATGTCATCAAAAGACACCCACTGGTCCCTCAGATAGGCATAAGGGCCGATCCTGCCCTGCCTGTCGCGGACGATTTTCCAGCCCTTTTTCTGAATATTTGTGCAAATCTGGAACAAGTTTGA